TGAGAATTAAGAGAATGTTTCCGAAATTTTTCAAGTTTCTGTTCGGTATCAGTAGAAGCAGGAAACCTAGATAAATTTAGTTTGTAACGAACAAGGTTAATTAAAATGAGCCCTTCTAACATTTAGCCTCCAAACATCAAAATTCCAGAATTATTTACCCAACATCTTCCTGTGAGGGTTTCATCATTGCAATTGCGCGCATTGCGAGCCCTTTAATTCTGCATATTTTCCCGCAATTCCGCGCAAATCTGCACAAAGGAAGTCCGTGCAAATCTGCGCAACAAATATGTTCGAAATTTGTAATGCCACTTCTAACTGTTTTTTTTATTATTTTGTTGTAAGTTAACGTTTATTTATTTATTTTTTAAGAAATAAAATGGCTTCCTTCCCTATTTTGAATTTTACAAGGCGCTATAACGCTTTTGCTGGTGTCATTTTATCCCTAGAATTATAAAAAGGAATGCATCAAAATGTCATTTTGATTTAAAAAAGACATCCTATAAAAGAACTCTTTCTAAATTCGCAGAAAACTTCGTTTATTTTGAAACTGGAGTTAACTTTTGAAAAATATTATGCTTTTGAAACATCTTTATTGTTTTAAAACTCATGAAATAAACTTTAGGAAATCTTTGATTACTTTTAATACGGAGCTAACTCGTAAAATCGTTTCTTATTTTTTAGCTAGAGATAACTTTTGGAAAATCTTAAAATGATTAACTTTCGGAAATTTTTAATGATATTCAAATTTGAGCCAGTTTTAAAATCATAATGCTTTTAAATCAGGAGCTAACGTTTGAAAATTGTTTGTTGTCTTGGACCTGGAGATAACTATTGAAAAACAACTAGAATACATTTTTGACGATTTTGATTGATGATTTTAATCTTGAAAAAATTGTATATTATTTTTGACCCTGAATTAATATTTAGTTCTGGAAAATGCTAGAATAAATGTTTGACCTGAAAATATTTCTGATCCGCCCATTACTCTTCTAAACCATTTGCTAGGAATCTTAAACTGTAAAGCTTTAGCCAGTGGGAACACCTGAAAAGTAATATTTTTAGTTTTTTTTAGTTTTCTTTAAAGGGGCTTTCTTTCTTTCAAAACAGTTTATTTTTAAAGGGACTGTTCCTCTGATATCAACGGACCTCAAAACATGCCAGCAATTCACAACAATACCCTTTAGCCAAAGAGAATAGAATATATATTAGAGTGGAATTTAGACAATCCCTCGGTATGAATTTTGTCAGTCCCTTTCAGCCTGAAAGGGAGTTCAAAGTGTACAAATCATGTAAATGTTCACAAATTATATGCAGAAGAGTACATTAATACAGTATGTTCCCTAGACTATCAAAATCATTGGTCAATTATGAAACCAGCCTATTTCATAATTTGGTTTTCTTTTAACATTAATTTTAGATTTTCTATAAAATAATGTTCCAGGGCCCAAAAGGTTATATGGCATAAATATGTGAAGTACATCTGCAGTATGGAAACAGTACAACAAAATGGCCGTTTTACACTTTTTTCTAGTAAATTCCTCTCTAATAGTAATTTATATTCTTTTCTCTTTGCCTTTAGCCTTTTTACGTAGTGAATAGTGATTGAGGAAGATAATGTCGCTTTTATGTTTGCAAATAATTTGTCTGAAAACGATTTTAAAAATCATAAATGTTCAGATGGAAAACAGGGATAACCCGATCAATTACTTAACTCTAGGTTCAAAGATACCGTTGTGAATCGGACATGCAGCAATAAGTATAAATAAAATATCACTTAAAATTCAACTCTATACTAGGATCAAGAATAAAGAGAGAAGACCCAAGTGTTGATTCAAGGGGAAGGGAGAAAGATGGCTAGGTAGAAAAACTAGGATAAAGAGAGAGAGAGAATTAGAAGGTCTTTGAATAGCTAAAACTAACTTGGATACTTAGCGAGGTCCAAGTAAGCCTCTAACATTTAGAACGTTTTGAAAGTCGTCTTTAATGTTGTTAATGTCGATTCTGTGAGGAGAGATTCATGGTCATGGTGTGGCTAAGCTCCATAAACAAATTTTGTTTTAAGAAATTATAAAATCAAATGTGAATTTAACAAAATATTATGCCCTTCACAATCACATCCCCGACATTCCTTAGGTTTAAATTTTTTACGAAATGCCCGTTTTGTGTGTAGAACCTTGATCTTTTTCACAATTCATTAAGCCTATTTTTTTCAACATTAGAAATAAACCTATAATTTTTATTTCTAAAAGTTGTTAATTCATCGTCGAAAAATACTAACAATCCACCACCAGCTAATTTTAATGTAATGTAAATAATAAATATGTAACTTTCCTTTTCTATTCCTTTCTTTTCCTTCTCCTTTTATTTTTATTTTATTTTTTTAGAATGGGGGGAAATATTCCCGCAACCTCTATTTTAAGAGATTTTTAAATATTTTTCTCCTGAAACACTTAATTTTGTATGTTTAATTTCAAAAATAAATAATTACTTACTACTTACTTAAAACTAAAAAAAAACTTTAAAGAATAAAATTTAATTAATACCTTGGCATATTTAGCGTATTCACTTCTCAGATCCTTGTGTAGTTCTCTTTACATACAAAATTTTTTTAGAATGGGGGGAAATATTCCCGCAACCTCTATTTTAAGAGATTTTTAAATATTTTTCTTCTGAAACACTTAATTTTGTATGTTTAATTTCAAAAATAAATAATTACTTACTACTTACTTAAAACTAAAAAAAACTTTAAAGAATAAAATGTAATTAATACCTTGGCATATTTAGCGTATTCACTTCTCAGATCCTTGTGTAGTTCTCTTTACATACAAAATTTAATTATTAATTATTATATTATTGTTATTCATATGATTATTATCATTACTTTTATTATTATTATCATTATTAGTATGATTATTATATTATTATTATTATTGTTAAAATTATCATTATTATTATTATTATTATTATTATTATTATTATTATTANGGGGATATTTAACCATATATTACCTGGATATTAGAGGGGATATTTAACCATATATTACCTGGATATTAGAGGGGATATTTAACCATATATTACCTGGATATTAAAGGGGATATTTAACCATATATCACCTGGATATTAGAGGGGATATTTAACCATATATTACCTGGATATTAGGGGTGATATTTTCAGTACCCCCAGGAATATAAAGAACAGTCCCAGAAGAATATTGAGTGAATTTAACACTAACTTCGTCATTTTCTCTAGAGAAATAATAATAAATTAATGTTTAAAATAATTTTGATAATTTAAATTAAATGTTACAGTGATGAACAGAAAACTGTAGATTAGCAAGACGACATTAAAGCAATATTGAATTATGCATTTGATGTTCATGTTCTGGACTCTTTAATATCATAACTTGAGTTTAAAAGATGACTTCTTATTCCAGAAATTTCTGGTTATCACTGTACTATATATTTTAGAATAGTTTACGTTCTACAGACAATAAGATTTAAAGAACAAACAAATTGTGGAATAAATGTCGTCTTTGTTTTTTCCTAGTAATAAACAAACAATACTGTGAACTAGAACTAGAAAATGTAAAATGTATGCGTCATTACTGTTACGACTTTGTGACCTCGTAAAACATTTTTGTTCTTTACAATAACTCTTCAATTAAAGGAGTAATGATTGAAAACATAAATCAGATTTCATTCCTACATTTTTTCTAGTTTAACGTGCTAAACACATTTTACAGTTGAAATAATGAAAACGACGACATTTTCAATTGTAATATGGTTCTTACTATATTACAACCTTTATCAACCTTTTTATGCTAATATACAGTGTGAGTCAAAAACCCGGGAATATCGATGTTTTGGACAAAATTTTCAGAACTAATACTGATTTTCGGCATAATTAAAATAAAATGTGATAAGAAAAATTCAAAAATATTTTTGGAATATTANCATTCCTAAAGGACCTTTCGGCTTTCTTTCTTACAATGCTTTCTTTTCCTTTAACAAATCCGATAATAGCATGTAACATGACAATATCATAACATGACAATATAATCCCATGACAATATTATAACATGACAATATAATAACATGATAGTAAAAGCAAAAACACGAAACATGTCAAAATTAACAACAAGAACACATTTAACATCTTAATGATAGCAGCAAGAAAATATAACGTGTCTTAATAACAACAAGAACACGTTACATGTCAATAAAAACATCAACAACACCATATAGCATGTCAATAATTGTAACAGGAACACATAACATATGCAAAGACAGAGTGTCTCTAAAAAGTCCTTTGACGTAATTTTCTGCAATTTAACCGATTTAGACATTCTAAACAACAATAAAATCAGTTGTATTGAGATAATACAAAGATAAAAAGATATCTCTCATTAATATTATTATAATTATTTTTATTATTATTATTATTATTATTATTATTNGGGCTAGAGCAGATGTTTAATTTATATATATTATTACAGTATAAAAGAAAGGAAAGGAAAGGTAAAGGAATATAGAAAGCATATGGTTCAGAATTAAAAGCCGGTAAATTCCAGGATATTTTAATATAAACACTGCATGCAGTTACAGTTACTTATATGATAGTGGACTGTCAGAACCATAAATCAATGGAATACGAAGGCGACATTTAAGCATTCTAAGCACATTTAATGTTTAACAGTCGTCTTCCTATTCTATGTGTCCCCAATGTACTACACACATATATGGACTGTGGAGGGAATTACCCTGAAAACAGTAGATTAAGTTATTATTTTAATATTGCAGAATGGAGAATTTAGAAGTAAATCGGGAGGCCGTTTCTAAATCTTTATATTGCAGAAATATGGAGAATTCAGATAGTATATATCGAGAGGCCGTTACTAAACTTAAAATTCTTTTATCTGCTACGCAAATATCAGGTATATTTTAAGTATAGACATCTGATACTAGACACTAGACACTAGACATACTAAACACAAGATAACATAAACTAGACAATAGGACACTAAATACTAGACTTTAGTCACTAGACACTAGTCATTAGGTTCAATTTACTAGCCACTAGACACTAGATACTACATTCTAGTCACTAGACACAAGACACTAATTACCAGACACTAGTCACAAGAAAAAAGACACTAGTCACCAGACACTAGATATTAGATACTAGACACGAGACACTAGTCACCAGACACTAGTCACAAGAAACTAGACACTAGTCACCAAACACTAGTTACCAGACACTAGTCACCAAACAATAAACATTAGATACTACCCAAGTAACGAAAGTGAGGAATTTCCCCAGATTCTCCAACCGTGGTGACTTTCTTTGAAGAATTTCCGAGGAATTTCTCGAGGATCATTTCCTGTAACTGATTCCTCTGAAATTCTCGAGAAATTCCCCAGAATCGGTCCCCAAGATGAGAGATTTTTGTGGGATCACAGTTTTGAGACTCAGTTACGAGAATTTCCTGAGAAATTCTTTGGAATTCTTTACATGAAATTCCTCAGAATTTCTCTGGAATACTTTTCCAGAAAATCCTGAGAAATTCTTAGGACTTGGTCACCAAGTTTACAATTTTTAGGGGAATTAAATAAGTTTCTAGAAATTCCTGAGAATTTCTCTGGAATTTTTCTCAAGAAATTCCTAAGAATTTCTCTGCAATTTTTCTCAAGAAATTCCTAAGAATTTCTCAGGAATATTTCTCCGGAAATTCCTGAGAAATTCTCAGGACTTCCTCACAGAATTTTCAAGTTCCGTTTTTCACCAATAGGTGTCTCTGAGGTTCTCTTCTTTTATGCACTGCTCAAACTAAATCTTTTTTTCTTTGTATCCTTATTGATAAAAAATGATAATTTACTTCAGAACCATCT